ATAAATAAATAAACAAATATATAAACATTCTCTCTAAACACGTATTATCCTTGTACTTGGCTATTTACAAAACATAGATATGCGTATAAAGCTATAAAAGAATATATATATATGCTAGTAATAAAACAACTTGTCACATTTTCAGTAAATGCACACTTCTTACATTGGTTACCTTTTATATTTATAGACGAGTTTATTGCTACTAAATATTGCTATATTTAAGACTTTTAGTTGAGGTCGCATGCCGAATACATATTTCTATCGTTTGAAGAGACAAACACTATGACCTCCCCTCCCTTCCATCTTACTTTACATTATCTAATACTATTTGCTTAATAATAATAATTAGTACATGATACATCTACCAGAAATCTATTTCGAAAGTTTCGCATAAGTAAGAAAATAATACAGTGCTTCTACTCGAGATTGAGACAAATTTGGGAATGTTTCAACAAAGAAAAGTTAGTTTTCAGACAAAGTAGATAGTTATTTAGGCACTTTACCTGTAATTGTTTAAACATCTCAAAGAGCCAAACTTTTTATGTTACAGTGACTAGATTATTATCGTTATTGTTGTGATTATTGCTGCCTGTTTGCTTACTTTTATCAGATCTTTGGAAAGCAGTTAGACTTTTGAATTTTGTGTTTCTACTTCTGTACAAGTGCTCAGATTCGTTAAGAATACCTTCAGCGGTTAGACTTCGGAAAACATTATATATGGTGTATATTAGCTACACCGAGGATTGAATACGGGTAAAAAAGAAATGTTCAAGTTGTGATTACTTTATAAAAGAATATTTGAAATTTTTGACGATCCAAAGTTGCCCTTTCTTTACTGGCCTGTAGAACCTGTAATACACTGTGGCAGCGAGATGTTAATGCTGCGAAAATTTGATGGCAACTGTTTTGTCAACTTGGAGAGGAACCAGTCTACCAACTGCTTTCCAAAGATCTGATAAAGGCAAGCAAACAAAAACAAGCATCCAGCAGTAACAATAGCAATAACAATAACAATACAATTGCTGTAAAGTAAACAATTTGTCTCTTTGAGACAGATAGATAATTACCGGTAAATATCAAAGTATCAATGTCTGTTTGCCTGAAAAATAATTTCTCTCTATTTAAATTCCATTTTCGTTTCGTTCACAAATGGCAAGTATATTGTATACAATTACATTTTGATTCATCTATAACATTTCTCAATTTGTCTCAATCTCAAGTAGAAACACTGTAAACTATGGTTAGGCTGGGTGTTAATTCGTAGTTAAGTTGTACTTGTGGTATACATAGTACCACAATTGAGAGAAGAACAGACTCCACAACCAAGCACTGGGTCCTTCTTGCTAATGAACCTTACGAGTTAACAATCTCTGGCATTGTTACACGTCAGGCGCACGTACACTACACACTCATACAGTGTAAACCAATCATTACACAACAGGGATTTGAATTACATGGATTTTAAAAGTAGCATATATAAACAATACTATTTTGTCTCTTTAATAAATAACACTCTCACAGTATCTACTTTTCCCTATATTAAGATACTAACTCAAAATTAGTCCCGAATACCTTAGTATGACCCGCGTCAAACACACATAGAGCTAACGTTTTACTACTATTATTATTATTATTAAATAAGTAAAATGAAAACAAGTACTCTCAAAACATCATCTACAAAACATCCCCAAGTAATTCAATCTTGCAAGTTTTATAAAGTGGGCGCGAATTCACCACTAACAATTAAATTTTAATCTTCATCCTCATCTGTACAATTTACAGCCTAATTATTAGCATTAATCTACATCTTCAAACAATTTAAACTATACTCACACGGACACAGTAGGGATTGTCAATGGAATAAGCCATATACTATAATGTCATTTTTTTTTGTTTTTCTCTCTCTTTTCTTCTTCCTTTCAAATGTCAATAAAGTACATTGCCGGCATATAATGACATGCAGTCAGAATGTTAGAATAAATATGACCATTTGGCTTTCTAATACTAGACATACCGCATCCTTGATTGTAACTTACGAATTCTCTTGAATAACGTAATTCAACACATTCAAATGTTGGGAAGATAATATTCCATATTAATTAAATTCAACCTTTGTAAAGCCAAAGAAAAGGTTTTGGTGCTATAGATAATATAAATTTTTATTTGAATACGAGATATATATATATATATTGAGAATTGTGAATATAATCAGGAAACTTTTGAAGGTTCAGGTACGATAGGCTGTAGACAGACAGCCATTGCCTATATTTAAACAAAAGGGTCTGACCTTTTTTTTCGCCCTTATAGTAAATTCATAATTGGTTCCACGAGAAAAAAAAAGAGTTGGCTGAATTGAGCAAGATTTGTGGGAACTCTTGCTATTGAAAGCTATATCAAGGTGAAGTGGCAAAATAATCTGATGTTTGTAAGGAAGAGCAATGACTTTGAGCCGTGTGTCCTTTATAAGCTTAGAGATAGGTAAGGGAGCGATGTAATTGTGGTACATAAGTTCAGAGAAGATCCCATAGTGTTGTAAGATTGATTTTAAGCTGGTATATTTGATATTTTGTCATTCTTTTAGCAGTTTATAGCCCAAGCTGAATTTACCAACTCTTTTTTAAAGGACTTTAATCCATGGCACCAAAAATTAAACGAGTAACACAATATGATATTGCTTATAATAAAAATGTTACGGTGCCAGCTACCATATTATCTCGTGCACAGAATGGTATAAATAGTGTTGGACACTGAAGCCGACCAATGAATACAAACAAAATACTGTTGGCGAGTTAAGAAACCCAACTTCTGACCTATACAAAGCTTTGGTTTAGATCAAATTGAACATGCTAGCAATGCTCTAAAACCCGGAGTTCAAGAGAATAACCCCTCTTAATGGCTTCCTGTATACTATGTCTTTTATTCTTCAAGGTTGAGATTAATAGGTTCCAGAATATATTTTATATTTTTTATGGGGAATATGGCTAATAGAACCGAGGGCTGAATGATGTAAGAGTCTCCAGTCACCAATATAAAATCAATCAAATGGTGTAAATATTTATTTAAGATTTAGTGTACAGAATATCAATAACGATGTCTATATAAAAAGTATTGATACACTACGTATAGCATATTTCCAAATGAAATGAAATGAATGAATGAATGAAAGAGAAAAATTACATATATATGCATAAATGGATATGAGAGCTATGAAGAGTGTATATAATCTAGAAAGTATACGTCTAGGTATGATAAAGGAAGGACCAGATAAAGCAAATAAGACAGCAAGTGCCTGATATGTTCTTCATTTAGAGCTTAGAAACATTTGGTGTGTTCCGACTGAAGGGAAGAGCGAGGCATTGGTGACGGGTGACGGCAAGGAGATTGTTATCTTCATCCCATATACCACCATCCAAATCAAGGCGGCTATTCATAATATGAGGTGTGATGAAGCTGCAAAGAACTTCTTTTCCTGTTGGGATTCTCTTGAATTGGATTTCCATCTGCATTGTTGCGCACCAAATGCTGCCACCCCATACATCTGTACCGAGATTCGCGGCAGGTGTGATGAACATATCGCACCAGTATGGAATACTCTTGAAGTCCACCGAGCGATTATCAGAAAAGCTGATAAGGTGATGGTGTTCGGGGGTGCCCGGTGTCTGAACACCATCATTGTCAGATTTTGGGAGCATAGAGTGATCGATCTTGCTATTCACCATATCGCCCATGAATATATACTTGAATGGTTCAAGATTCTCGCGGGATGGAGGCGTAAGAGGCTTGTGAAGGACAGTGACACCTTGTTCGTTAAGCATATTGCCCATTGTGAAAACTCCTTGTATTTTGTCATTAAACATTGCGGGGTCGTACTCGTCAATGTTAGTGGGCATAGGATCATCGAAATTGTTCAGCTGTTTAAGGACGGCACGGGATAGACAATAACCCTTTCCGGACATCTTAATATCCTCAATCTCGATTAGGATTGGCCCTGGGATGGTTTTGCGAAGGAAAAAGCAGTTGAGAGAAATTGGATGCTTCTGATAAAGCTTCTCGTAGCGCTGGAGTACAGAATCGAGCATAATGGAAACAACGTAGCCTTAATAACCAAAGAAGATAAGTACAAACATGGTTTCTAAATTAAGACTTTTCATATTGGGTAATTCTTACCGCCCTAAAATAGAAAGAATTAGAAAAAGGTGCTTGAATAATCATAATACTTTTAAGAAAACTTACATTGGGAACCTGTCCGATAGACCATTGCTATGTAGACTATGTGCGTTAATTATATGCTCCTAAGCGCAGTGAAAGCTAGTATTTACCAAACTGGCATGGCCAACATAGTATAGTGCACCACTAGCTGACTTTCCGATAAATTGGGTGTTTGTGCCCTTGTCAAAGGCCGAAATTGTGGAGTTAGTCAAGTTCAAGCCATCCATTTCCTTTGTTACGGTGTCCATGATTAATAAAAGGTGTATGAAATATAGGAAAAAATGCTTATCGTTTCTTTTTATACTTTTATTTTCTAGAGTGTCGGAGAATGAATATTGCTCCTTATAAGAATTGCTAATGAGAATTACGTAGGCTGAAAGTTTTTCCGCGGAAGATTGTGCTTAGTTGTAGAAATGAATGTATCTTGGATCAGAAAGCTTACAAATAGTTCAAGCCCATAGTATTGTACTTGCACGTGAATATCCGTCTTATCTCGTATATATTTAGTACTAGAAAGTGAAGATATTGACAACGCACACAAGTATGTCTAGTTTATCCTATATGCAAAGAGAATAAGGTTCTTTACAGTCATATCTGTTAAAATTTTGAGGACTCTTTCCCAAAAATTAAATTAAATTAAAATTGAATTAAATCAAGTCAAATTAAATCAAGAAGTCAAATCAAATCCAATTGTGGACTTCAAATTTTCTAGTTTTATTGTATATGAAAATGAGCAATATATTTAATTAGTATAAAGAAAAGTAAAAATAAAATAAAAAGTCAAAAGGAGAGAGAGAGAGACGCTTTTATAAATGTATAATCTAATAGAGAAACGAGAATAAACCGACTGAAATGAAGGGAAATGGGTTCGTTAAACTGTACACAAGAATCAACTTTGAGAACAAGAGTAAAAAAAAAGTATATAAAAGTAGTAATAATAGTAATAGTAATAGCAGTAATAAGTGGGGAATGGGAGTCTTTTTGTTCTATCGGCTTATCACTAGTTCATCGCGCCCATTATTCTTTTGTCGATAAGATGCTTTATCTTTGTTGTTACTACTGTAAATATAAGGGTTACTGTACTGTTGAATTGTATTGTTTTGCCAGACACTGGTGGTAATTTCTAGTGTTATTTCCTCATCTTGTTCCTGACTTTCTGAACGTCCCTTCTTTGACGGTTTTTTGCCTGTTTGTTGATTTTGGTTTTCGCATCGCTGGCGTTTTTTTATGATGTCTGTCTTCATCGAAAGAGGTCTCTTCTCATGGTGGAGCTTAAGACTTTGTTATAGTAGAATACATAATTAACTTTTGTAAATAACATTCATTATCACGTAGTATACTTACTAGAGCCCACATGCGTTACATAACGATTGACCTTCTATATCACGGCGCCAAAGAGGAGTTGTATTGGTTTTACAATTAGAGCATACTGGTTGTATCAAATCCTCTTCTCCGCGTGAGTCTTTCCTTATAGAATGGGGTTTTAAATGTTTTGGGCGAGGTGCATTGTGAAGTTTCAGACTAACAAGGAAGATGAGTTTCTTAGTCCATATACACATACACAGCGGACTGTTTTAAGAAAGACTCACTATAAGCCACAGGCATTGCAAAGCAACTCATCCTGAACAGAACGTCGCCATAGTGGTGTTGATGTAGTATCACAGTTGCTGCAAATAGGCGGCTTTCCCTCGGAAGGCGTGCTATTGACGGCCATGGGGCGCATAGTTTTTGGAGGGGTTTTTTGGCGATTGGGCTCTGTGTGCGATTCAAATTTGGTGGGTAGGTATTCCGCTGTTTGTGGTGCTGCGTTGAATTGACCCGTGGCCTGGTCTGGGCCATTGGTAAATCTCTGGGAAGGATTTTTTACCAAGGATGCGGGAGCCGGTCCTGAACTGGCAGCCGCTACCTCGGATGGGATTCCACGTTTACCGCTCTTAATATTCTTTGCTGACTGTGCTGCCGGAGAAAGTAATCGTTCGGCAGACGCCAATGTTTTTCGTGGGAGAGATGCTAAAAGCTTGTTTCTGAGCGTCCCAGTTGGAAGGGGCGGCATGCTGTCTGAATAAGTCACATAATAAGCTGATGAACCATCGCCGTGACTTATCGGAAGTGTTGTTGGAGAAGAAGTCGGTAGCACTGTTTGAGAAATAGAAGGAGGAGCAGGAGGGGGAGGGAGGGGAGGGGAAGCGGGAGGGGATGTTGTTGGCTCTGCTTCAACAGATGTGGTTGTTATGGGCTGATAGGATGCTGTGTAGTTCTCGGACGGGATCTGGTGCGACAGTTGATTTTGTGTTGGGTCGTAGAGCGAGTTGGGATACGAATACGAATTGAGTGAGTAGAGAGGAACTTGGGGAGTGTAATTAGGCTGTGAATACTGCTGCCATGAGGGTTCATCCATCATAGTATCTAAATCCATTTCAACCATCGGCATCTCTCCCGGTATTGGGTTCATAAAAGCCTGCATATCCCCAAATGATCCAAATATATTCTCAAGCTCTACTACCTGATCGCGAGCTTGGTCAGACGTATATTGATGGAGTACAAAATTCTCAGTTACTGGTCTATCCATAATCGATGGTTCAGACAAGTAGCTAGAAGGATCGGCGTATGACGTTTGTGGATATGCATTGGTGTCATTGGTATTGGAAACAGGAGGTGCGTTTTGAGATGAGCATGTGTAGTCCAAGATACCGCCATATTGGTTGGGGTTACCAAGCGAGGGAATGTCAGCTGTAGTGTCCAGGTGTGGCGGCTTAGGCTGACTTTCTGGTTGAGTGTATGTCTTTTTTGTTTTCTTGGCTGTGGTCGTGGTTGGGCTTACGTTGCTATCTAAATGTTCTATAGCTTTTTCCTGCTTTTTTTTATTTGGTCTACTTTTTTCTCGTAGTTGGTTCAAGCTTGAACCCTTTTCGCTTTCCAGTTTGTGTGTGGCGTTTGAGGATATGCGTTTGAAGTTGGACTTGGCTTTGGGGTCTCCTACAAGCACATTATGAAGAAACCATAGACGCCAAGACAAGTTTTCCAAGCGAGAGCCATTTTCTAATGAATCTTTCACTTTTGTGCACACTCGCCAAGTCTTTGAGAGATCATCTCCAGAATGGAGATTAGAGAATGGCGAGAAGGACTCATTGCCTTTGATTTTCAGCACAATAGGCGCCATGAATGTATTTATTTTAATTATTAATAATAGAAAGGTAGAAAAAGAAAGAAAGAGAGAGTCTATAGATGTATATATAAATAAAGAGAGGAACAAGAAGTAATAAAGAGGTGAGAAAGAGAAACAGAGCATTTGAGGCATAAATTTAAAATCGGGTTTTTGCAACCCGACCGGGCTTACCAAGCAAGTCCCCCAGCCCGTCTTTTTCTGTTAAAATTGTTGCTATTCTTTGATCGTGACTTTTTATATACGCAAGTAGGGCTCATTCTTGGCTGATCAATGGAAGTCTATTTTTATAGGCTGGTAACATAAAGATCGAAAAGGTACTTCACATGGTCCTGACTGAACCTTTTTTTTCAGGTGCGAGCCAATCATAGGCGTTTTTTAATGTATTTGACTGGTAGATTTGATTTTTATTCGACTGATTTTGTTTGAAAATTAGGCAACACAAGCTTTGACTCGACAGCTTACACAATGTCATTTTACCTTTTGATTGCCATAAATACTCCTTGAGGGGGTTCCAATGCAAGAAGAAAAAAAAACACAAGGTTTTTTTTTCATTCGTACTATATATGTCACAACTAACGCTTACAAGAACTATCGGTCACAAATGAAAATAAAATATGGTATCGGCTAGACGTTCTGGAACATATGTAATATGTAACTGAGACACAAGAGACGTGTCGAGAAACCCAACCTTATTATGTCTTGTTTCTAGAGTTTTTTTTTTTGCTTGGCCTGCATTATATTTACATTACTAGTCCAAATAGGCACTTTTTACACGATCTTCTATACTGATGTCATTAATAAATCTTGAATACAAAACTGCGCGACTCAATCGAAACACCTGTTCCGCATTTTTAATAAAATATAAGATTTCTGATATTTTTTTTGTTAAGTTTACTGAACTTCTTTTTGTTCAATTGTACTATATTGCTAGTTATCTGGCTATTCTTTTTTTTTTTGAAATACAGGTCAAGGTTTCAATTCCTTAATATATATATATAATCAAGAAACAGACCCCACTGCAAGTTAGCATTAAAGCACGTCAGAACACAGATCTTTTAAAAGATCCATATCTAGTGGCTGAAATTCACTGTCTATAATTTAACAGCACAATATCATCCGATATTTAATACTATTAACCAATATCTTAAAACCTTTATTATATTGCCTACCAAAGTAGACTATCTAGATATTAATTAATACTATGTCTTTAATAAGCAACTGTTTATTCGTCTTGACAAAGACAAGTGATTACAACTAACAATCCCAAGATCGACTACATTGGCGATCTTTCACCACACTCCAATACCGTTTCCATTACAATCTTGGAGTCAACAAGGTTATTCTTGCACCGACAGGAAGCACCAATGATAGATACATTTGATCTTAAGGTCAGTTTAGATAACAAAGTGTTGCTGGATAATATAACAGCTTGTTTGCTGCACTGAATATTCTAAGTAACAAATTTATATATCAATGAAAATACAATAGATTTAATGGCTTATATGATATTTTCATTATAATTATAACTACAACTATTATTTTAAAGTAAAAATAAAAGGTTGCATCTTTGGCAATATCGTCATAAACCTACCAAGTTTGATATGTTCAAAGTCTCTTTTAGTGTCTTGATATTAATATTAAAACAGGATTTGTTTTCAATCCAGACAATCATTTTAAACAAGTAATGGTGAGTAGAGACTTTTCCTAATTTCAGATTTTAAAGAAAGGACGAACATACCCTACAGATCCAACATACCTTCAAGTCTATTTTTATCAACATATTACAACAGACTCTGAAGATTAAAGATATAATCATATCTAATGTATTCTTGTATTCTTTCTATATCTTTTCTTATAAAGGAAAACTTTCAAAGAGTATTATAACACAACACGATGTATTGTTCGGGAGATATACCATTAATACAAGCTTGTCTTTATTAGTCTGTATCCAGCTGTAATAGGTCTCTTATATATGTAGGTATTTATTTGATGACTAAAAGTATATATAACTAATAGAATGCTTAAACAGAACAAAAGGTTTTTATTTTTTTTCCAAGAGTGAGCAGTGCTATATATAACATATCTAACTAAACATGGTAAACTATTCTATAGGGTTTCTTCTAGATTACAAGCCTCTACTTACTATTTTCTTTTTGATTCTGTTCTTTATACCCATAATTCATAGATATGATTTAATATTTCATCATAAAGCACTATGAAATATTCTTGAGGCCGAGGAGATTTGTATTTTTTGAACAGTCGTCGTTAGGATCATGGAATTAAAAAGACCCCCGCATAAAACGTTACCATCACAGATGTTTTCATGTAATACAACTTTTTAAAATAGTTTGTTGTGCTACCTAATCTGTTAACGTCATATGTATATAAGAAAAACCTATTTTTGATAATGGGTTAAAATAAACTTTGTTTCAAATGAATTGTAGGTTGGAAAAATATATATTAAGGTTACCAAGACCACATAACCCCTAGACAGTAGCGCATTTGCATGCCGATAATACGAGATGTACAATTAGTACAGTCGCTTGCATTGGTACCTGCAGATTACGAGAGCATCTATGTATATATAGTAACCCACATCTTTTTATTCCAAGAGAGATGTGGCATCACAATTAACGGAAATAGTAAGAATAAAGAATAAAACTTGACATTGGAATGTGGGTGTAGCCTTAATAAATATCCAAATTTAAGTATATATACATATATGCATATGCTTAAGACTACTTTATATCTAACCCTCTCACATTGTCCCATCAACAAGGCTAGGAATCTACGTGTAATAAAAAGAAATACGATGATTAGTATGTTGTTTTTTCATAAGCCAAGTGGTCAATATTATTATTATTTTGCTCATTTAGTTAGATCATTAAAGATTAAGAAAATTACAAGAAGGTCAGGTTGGTTAACCATACCAAATGGTATACTAACAATTTGATAACACAGTCCTTAAAAGTAAGAGCCTATGCTTTCTTTTTATTTATCAGGCACATCTTTTAAAATGTATATATGATTGAAACCCCCATAATGTCCTATTAAACTCAATACTAGATATTAATAGACATCCTTAATTTATTGAAGGTTTGTCCCAATAAATAGGAGACTATCAAATATTGTAAATTAATAGCAATGCCTTTCACAAAAATATGTAACGACTTTTTTTTTTACAAAATTTTCGAGTTGTATTGAAAAGCAAGTCAAAGGAGATACTGCAGGGTAGAAAACAAGAATGTGTATATATATATTTAATCTGTGTTGTGCTGTAATACATGGCTCACCGGCCTCTCAATATCTGGTCTAACCATTCTCTCATAAAACCATGACATTGAGGAGAGCACTTACCGCAGTAACAGCACATGACATGCTGTTGTATAAATATAATCCTTCGTTACTCTCAATAAATATCATATTTAGTTTCGTACCCAAAAAAAACACGCATCTCTTTACGCTCAAAGGCTCTTTAGCTAATTGTTCGTTTTCTTTTGTTTAACAAATCTCAATTGCATTTTTGTTTGTTTGTTTGCTTCGTGTTAAGGGTTGATAAAATTATATTGAAGTTGTGCAGAGTCAGTAGCTTATTTTTGTGCTTCTATTTTGTAATTTTGTAATCAAGCAAGTTTTCCACTTCTTATTTCCACTCGAATCCATTAGAATTACTATCATTATTTATTTATATTTATATATATATTTTTAAAAGAAAATCCCCTCATCAAAACGTGCTATCAGTTCAATATATTAATATCCAAAACATAAAATAAAAACTAAAGAAGCCTTAGAACATCATATTGGTAAGATGACGATGACCTTGTAAAAGCTACTAACTATTTCAAAGCACTTCCCTATTATTATTATTACCTTTTACCACTACATCATCTGTAACCCGGAGTGTGAATTAGTTGACATTTACTTTAGTGTTATTCATCGGTCAATCACTCTTATTAAACAAGTAGAAAAAAAAACAGGCTTCATGTCGACACCTAATGCCACAAACAGTTCGGAACCAAAACTTAAAAGACTGCCAATGACTAGGCCAATCCCTAATGTTTTGGTAATCCAAATTCTTCTTTTTTTTTCTGCGTCAATTCGTAAAAACTGGTCATTGAATCGTCTTCATTACGAGATTAGAATCAGAAGAATGGGCAAACTCTTTCAGAAAGACATATTGAGATTGCCCTACTCTCAAGACGATACCAAAGCTCTTTTTCCTCGACGTAATAATATAACAAGCCAAGTCAGCGAACACTGATGTCTTTTCTTTTTTTTGTTGACATTGTGTCTTAGTGAAACAGAGAAAGGCACTCAGATAAGATTGTTGATCCCTCCAAGCGACCCCGACTTTCCTTTTGATCTAGAAGCACTAGAGATCCTTCTGATGGTTCCAACAAAATATCCTCTTCATCAATGCAGTCTAACAGTAACAAATTCTGATATACCAAAAGGATTCTTGAGGCAAGACTAAATAGATATATAAAAAGAAAAGAAGCAATATGAATATTAATGGTTCCTATAGAAATCTAGAATTGGGCTATGAAACATTTACAAAGGAAAATTATGCGTCATCTCATATAAGTCTTGTCCAACAGATGGATTGGTTGGATAAACACATGGAAGAGATTTTACAGAAATCACCTGCCCCAACGATTAGATTCGTCAGTTATCCAAAAAAAGGATCTCCCAAAACACCATTACCCATTTCACAAAACCCAAAGCCGGCTGTAAATAAACACGATATCCTAAATCCATCGAGATCTGCAAAAGCATTAAACCCCAATGCTGCTATATTTGTGAGTGCATGTTATACACCAGAACAAAGAAAAGAGGCTGCAAAGAGGAGGCATCATGAAATGCGCCAATTACAAACAAGGTTTGGTACTTCTTACAGTGTGGTAAAGTAAGTTTTAACCTAGTATGTATATATATATATATTCCTTAAAAATAGTATGCTTATAATTGTGCCCTCTTACTAGGGCAAATGGCCACCAGACCGTATGCTCCATCCATATACAATGGAATGATCTTGATCCTTCGGTTCAAGAACAACTAGGCGAGAATTTGATCTTAGAATACTCAGTACCTGTCATGTATCCGCTTGAGCCATGCAGTATCTCAATCCAGAAACCTTCTCTTGAAAATTTTAGAGCCATGTAAGCACACTTTACGCTTGGCTTGTTTGATAATACTATATTTAATACTTCTATTATGTAGTACAATTGTCGATGCGTTCTCTGCTTATGTTAAAGATTCGAGTGCATCTTTATTTCAAAATCTCAATTGGCTTAATCGCAACTTCTCAAGCCTATATAGGGATGCGGTCCAATTTTTGCCGCCATCCAAACCTTATCCTGAAATAAAACCAGAAACTTCAGAACCACCAAAGCCAGTACTCACACCCAAACCGAAAGAGATTTTGTACAATGAAACAAAAGACAACCGAGTGATCGTTGTTAACGACCGCTGTCTCCTCCTCCCACCTAATGCTAAACCAATAGACGGCGACACGTGTGGAAACGAAGAGGGTGAGGAAAGAGAAAATGATGGAAATGAATCTGTTATACCCCATGATAGTATAGCTGCTCCTAGACGAGGAACAGAAATCAGGTTGGACAACGTTTTCCTCAAAAATGTAGCCCTTGTTCGTTGTGCTTCTATTTCTATGGTAATGAAGTGTGGTCGGTGTAAGGGAAGTCTAGCCATAGACAACATTCAGCCAGAAAAAGTCAATACCAAGCGTGAAAGTTGGACAACATGTCCTACATGCACCCTCATGGTTGGAGTAAGATTTCTATCAGGTATTCACATCAAAGTGTAACCATCCAATGACTGAAAAAAAATTAAATATATATATATGGTAGATTTCATTCATCCAAATGCATCTACACTCGGGCTTCTACAACTCGTCAAGCTTAGTCCTATTTCTCTTGTCTCCTTATCTCTTACTGCCACCTGTGCCCAGTGTCTAACAGAATCAAGTACTTGTGCTCAATTTAATGATCCACGTATCTTAAACCAGCAATGTTCTGCATGCTTTACAAAAATGAGTCTGGGATATGAGAGTCATCGATACTTCCGGATTGGCACAGATGAGGGCCAATTTGAGGCAGACGAAGCACAGGTTATGAAGCTTAAGCAAAAGGGTTCTATAAAAACAAAGGTTTGCGGGCAACCCCTTCCGGACAAAGGAAGATGCTCCCACTATCGTAAATCAAAACGATGGTTCCGTTTTCCGTGCTGCCAGAAGCTTTATCCTTGCAATACGTGCCATGATTTAGACCAAGATCATCCTTACACATATGCTCAGCGCCATGTTTGTGGCATGTGTTCTCGCGAACAAGCTATTATGCCACTATGTACTGGGTGCAATCATGCATTTGAGCCTGACCAACACAAGGGAGCATTTTGGGAAGGTGGTCAAGGGATGCGTGACAAGACCAAAATGAGCAGAAAGGATACCCGAAAACATAAAGGAACTCAAAAGGTTCAATCCAGAAAACAAGATCGCGTAGGATGAATGAATGGATTGTATTGTAAAATATTCGCTTTTATGATTTAACTTTGTATGTATGCATGCATGTATGTATTTATATTAAAGGTTGATCTCTCTTTATATGTATATATTTTCCTTGGATTTAGGCCATTGATATTACGGTACTTTTTATTTAGAAGAAGTATACTTTTATTCGACCTTTTTCCGGTTTGGGTTTCCTTATTTTTTTGTCCTTTAAATTGAACTCGAAATAACCTTTGGGATGAGAGACTATTAATTACAAAACAGGAGTGTCTTCTACTCCACGTGAGATGATGATGTTTGCGTAATTTTTCGTATGTTGTCTATAGTCAGCCTTTGTTCATGTGGTCAAGTGTTGTGAATGAATTTTTTTGTCAAGTCTCGATTGAGTATCATATTGGGTTCGCTTACTTTTGGCTTTATGATTTGTCTGGATTGAATTAAGCCAAGATAGTATGTATAACAAATATATATGTTTGTGTTTGTGTTTGTGTAAAGAGATACCAAAAGAGAGAAACACATGCGTATATTAGTACAAACACTTCCGTCACTTGTTTTTGTTATTGCTTGGACTCCAAACAAAAGAATCCGCGTGCCTGGAAATAAATTCTTGCCAACTCTATTTTCTTATTTCCAAAATGACAATACAAATTTTATTGATTTGATCGATTTGATCTTCTATTCAAACAACATTTAAGCTCAAGGTATACAGCATTCGTTTATCCTTTATTTCAACTCTCTTTGTGCCAAAACAAGCTGTGCTGTTAAATTAAGAAATTTAATATAATATATCTATAGGTTCAAGGCTTTACGTTGATATAGTTGGTTCTGTTTAAGAATAAGATTGCTTAAAGCCAATCACTACGTAATAAAGATCATAACCATAAGTATCTGCACTACAATCCTTTCACTCGTGTTAATACTGATTTTATAAAGAAAGTAAATAAATAAATAGAAAAAAAAAGTTTATTAACAATGACAAAAGATCGCCGAGAGTTATACTCAATGATGTATATGTATATATAAGGGCAATCTTACTTTATTGGATAAACAGTATATTGTGAATTGGCACCAGAGAATTGTTTCTCGTTGTCTGCAACACTTACAAACGGCCAAGTGGTTTTACACTACTACCATAGATTCTTAAAATTCAATATCGTCTCAGGAGAGAATAGGGAGATGCAATTGTACTCGGTTTGTTTTCTTTAAAGGATTTATACATATATTGTGGTGTATATTACCCTATATATGTCCACAGGTCGGCTTTAATGGCAATAAAGGACTGAAGAGATTTTTCGAACAATTAAAAATCAAACACATATTTCGATCAAGCTTAATATATCGAAAGGCAGTAATGTGCATCAATCTTATTGGAAAGATCAAGATTGAAAAATACGTATTAGATGACTAAAAAATTCAATCGTGAGTAGACGATATGAATCTACCAGACGAAGAATGAGAACATTGGGGGGTATAATCTTGTTGATTTACTTTTCTTTTTTCAAGATCTCCCATAGTCCCTGCTAATTGCTAGGATGAATTGTGTGTGTGTGTGTGTGTGTGTGTGTATGTGGGTGAAACTTATTTTATTGCCTTGCCATCATCTGATTCTTCAGAAACATTTATCAAAATGGGTACCTGAAGAGATGTTAAGGTGGCAAAGATCTATAATGAATACTTGTGAGATTAATTACATTGACATTCCTTTGGCTTAACAAGGATTATAGAATTAACGGAATGATATATTTAATAACAAGCTTATATCAAACAAACAAACAACCATAAAAATGACGCATATTTTTTATTAAGAAAATGTAAAGAACAAAATGAGTACAATGTTAAAGGGACTGTACTTGCTTTGTACTATGTATCTTATATCAAATTAGTAATATATATATATATGCCCGGTTACATACACACATTGTAGCTATGTATATGTCTATGTATATGTATATGTTATATGTACATGTATGTATGCCTATGTCCATGCATGTATATTATTGTATTTATTTATTAACATATGAATTTTGTAAAAAAAAAAATTTAATAAATTGCTCATGTATTTAAAGGAAACATATGAGGGGGGGAGAAACGCAGCTTGGTGGGCGGTAAGTTCGGAATATTGTTAAGCGGCCCGGACAGTGTGGTTGGGAAGTAGTGAAGTGTGAGAGGTTCTGTTTGAGGAAACCCGATGGACATACAATTTAAACTCCGTATTGGTATAAAAAAGACGTGAGTCCCGCCACTCTTCTGTGGGTGGCAAAAATATTTTCCTCTTTTAATTTTTTATTTTATTTTATTTTTCATATTCCTTTTTTCTTTACTTTGCCTTTCTGTTATTTTCCCTTGCTTTCCTTTGGATTCTCGTCATGATGATCAGCGAGTCCACGTTTTATCCTAATGCGCATTACTCTTTTTCTTCTGCATCTGACATGCGTGTCCATCCTCTCTCTGCTTCACCCTCGACTGCAATGTTCCAACAAACAACTACATTGCAGGCATCCCTGCAGAGCGGGAGTGTAGGGTCATCCGGTGATGATGTGACGACTATCTTCGTGGTCGGATTCCCTGATGACATGATGGAGCGTGAGTTCCAGAACATGTTTACCTTCTCACCGGGTTTTGAGGCTGCATCGCTCAAATGGCACTGCAAGGACCAAGATGATGACTCAACTGGCTTGAGCAATGGCAAAAAGCAGATGGTATGTGGTGACGATAGATAGTAAATAGGACTAAGATCGGAATGTCTTTGCTTATTTAGATCGGATTTGCACGTTTCCGAACCCGTATGGAGGCTATGGAAGCCGTAGAGGTCTTGAGCGGCAAGAAAATCGACCAGGACAAGGGAGCTGCGCTCAAGGCTGAAATGGCCAAGAAGAATCTACACATTAAACGAGAATCGGTTATTCCTACCCCGGCAACCATGGCAGCTATTGCTCAGGCATCAGCGTCAGCATCAGCGTCAGCATCAACATCTGCCTCGACGTCGACTTCAACTTCGACCTCTGCCAATTTACCTGTAACAGAAAGTGCACCACCACCACCACCACCATTAAACATGCTTTCTAAGAAAATGAGCATCCACCACGCACTTGCTTACGAATCCTTTTCTCCTCTTCCTAGTGATCTGCTTTCACCTGCAGATTACAAGACAGATCCATTCATGTCAGAATCACTATCGAACGTCAATACGCCCATCTTCAACGATGCCCTGTTTGGCTTGAGATCTCAATCTTTTGATGCTCGGAACCAGCCGACGCAGGAGATCGGCATGATGTCTCCCCCGCGTGCTTTTGGTTTGTTTGCACCCCGCGTTAACAAGGCTCTCCAGCATGAGACCGAGAATGATCCTTTCAATTACCTGTCAAAGTCATCGCCAACCTCGAACGATAATTTTACACCTCCCTTCTTCGGCGACGATATGCTTTCACAGCGCATGGGATCTATCTCAGCCCATTCTTCTAGCACTATCAACCAGCATTTCGACCATCGTTCGGCCAGTTTTTCGTCTCCTAGCTTGCGTGCCTCTATCAGCAACCCTGCCGATCAAAACCCTCCCTGTAATACACTTTATGTCGGCAATCTTCCCGCCAACTCAAACGAAGATGAACTACGTCTTTCATTTGCGAAGTGCAGAGGCTATAAGCGCATGTGTTTCCGTAATAAGCCACAAGGACCAATGTGCTTTGTAGAATTTGAAGACGTTGTATTTGCCACTCAAGCTATGAGTGAATTGCAGGGCCATATGCTGACAAATTCAGTCAAGGGTGGAATTCGACTTTCATTTAGTAAGAATCCATTATTCACTAAGCCCAACGGAAAAGAGGCAACCTTTGGCTACAACAACAAACCTGTGAACAACAGTCCGTTTGGTGACCGCCGAGATGTCCTCTTTGATCCCCAGCTCTAAGGGTTAGACAGAGGAGCATCTATACATAACTTCATGCATCTCATTGTACTTGTTTTTCTTTATTTTCTTTTTATTTCTTTTTTGCTTGATGCACGTCTACTTTGTCTCATGTTTACGCATATCTCATAACTATTCCTTTATCAACCTCTTCTTTATTGCACGTCACTAGATTACCACCTTTTGCACGCACAAAAAAATCAACATTCACATTCACACTCACACTCACACTCACACTCTCACTCTCACTCACTAACTCACTCACTCACTAACTCGCACTCTACCTATTTTCACCTATCCCTATTCCTCACTTTTTCACTTTCTTTTTTTTTCTTTCTTTCTGTATCTCAACTGCAATTACTCCTTATACACTGCACAAAATCCATATCTTTCTCAATAAATTTATACTTCTTGTTCTTCATCAAAACATTAAAATTATTGTTGCTATTATTATCCGATTTGAAATGAAGTGATGTTTTGGGAATAGCATCTCGACTTATTGTATACTCTGGTATCAAATGTAGTTCAATTGGGTGTGGTAAAAGTAAATCGGGTAACTTGCTAAATGCACGTCTATTTGAATGCCTATGTTTATTGTATGGCATCAGACATTCGGAGATCAATCCAAATCGACATCTCACAAAAATGGAAAGGTACCTACCCCCCAAAACACTATAGATTAACAATTAGAAAACAATAGGTACAATCAGAATAAAGCCTTGAATATCAATAGTAATCGTAATATATTACAGTCCTCTATAAACGGATACTTGATAGCAAACTCTTGGTTTATTAGCATATGTATATATATAAAAGACAATATATATATATATATATTTATATTGAGATTAATCAATATAGAGATGTCTTTTGTTTGATGTCGTGCTAACGGAGAATGTAATATAGACCTTATTCTAGCCTCTTGGTTGGTGTACGATGAGTCAGCTCTTTCAGTGTAACGCTGCTTAAACACAATGGATGTTTTCTGTCAAGTCTCCGCATTCAATACGATCCGTCTCTGTCTCAATTATTTTTTTTGGAACACATCGGAACTCTAAATATTTTAGCTACTTTGAGCAAAAACAGCAATTCTTAACTGAACAGATTTATACTCAGAGGCAACACCACTACAACTAAGTGAAACAAGAAGTAGACAATGTGGCCTTGTTCTATAGAAGCTATCGTACCCACTCCACAATAATTTACGGGAAAACTGCCGGGTTTGATTTCTCAGTCCCTCCTTCTTTATATATCTTTGGTTCAACGGTCAGACTCTCCGGATTGTCAAGTTACACTATTTATTCAAGAAAAAAAACTGTCCGTATCATTGTTATCCCTCTCTTTTTTTTCTTTTGTTGTGTAGGATTGAGTCGATCATCTTTAAGACGTCTTCTTCCTAATTTGTACCTTTTGTACTCTTAATTCTTTGTATTACTCGAGAAAAAAATGTTATTGTACGCCGTATTGATCTTGGTTTCTTTTGTCTTGTTTTATACCAACACCATCAATAAATAAATAAAGTATAATATAATATAATCATGGGATTCCTAGAGTATCCCTTAAGAAATAAAGAAGTAAAAAAAAAGAAGCCTTTTAATAATTATTGCTTCTTAAAAAGAATAAGAATAAGAATAAGAAAATGATAGTATCTGTGCGTCTTTTTTTTTATCGAAGAAACCAATCAAAACAACAATTGGATATTGGCAAAATCAAGACTGGATCAAACGTTCTCTTATCGGTTGACAGGCGATTGGCCTTTAAGCTATTTCGTTCAGTACACACCCAAGTTCAATTTGGAGCTAGAGGATATGCATTTGTATCCTGAGTACCTATTCGTTCCTTTTGTTTTTCCTTCTCCTTTTCTTTTTAAACATGGCGATTTTTTCTATCAAGAATTACTTGATGCGAACTCTTTTGGATCACAATCGTAACAATTGCATCTATTACAGCTTGCTCTAAGTAAATAAATGAGTATCCATAGAAAAAAAGGTGTGTCCTTTTACAAGTGAAAAGGTAAATAAATACCTAGTTATTTGTGTAATTTTCTTTTAATCGAGCATTTTAATATGTAATCGACCCAATAGAATTGCACAAATCAAACCATTTTTTTAAAAAAAAAAAAGAGGGCTCGGCATTGTGTATACTTTATTGGTCAAGTATGTGCTCATTTTCAATGTCAGACAATCTGATTGTTTGTTGGTTATTTGCAATTTTTTTCTTTTTCCTTTTTTTTTCTTGTGTACAGTCTGCTTTACGTGCCTACGTCATACATTTGCTTTCTATCCCTTGAAAGATATCTATGTAAGTTTGGCTCTGAAATCAAGACTATTTTTCACTACATACCATATACACACTCACAAACTCTCACACTCGCACACACCCACGCGCACACTTATTCACTCTCATATATATACACTCACATATGTATATATACTCACTCACTAACTCACTTACCCACTTACTCACATACATACAACTCCTTTAAAAAGCTTTTATTTGATTTAATTTTTCTTATTCATTGTATATTTAGCTATTAATTTAAATTATTCACTGTCTATATACATTCTTCTTCAACAACAACAAAGACGACGACGACGACGACGACGACAATAACGACAACAGACAGTTACATCTAACATGAACGACCTTGTCATCCTCAGCGATAATTCTTCAAGATTGTCTGACGAAGCTGTTGCAGAGTTCAACACCCTATTTATAGTTGGGAAAGAATTTCCATCCACTGTAGCTGTTCGTGAAGCTGCAAAAGCATATGGAATAAAACATAACATTGCATTCACTACTCATTCTGCGACAGCTAATCGCATTAAGATGATCTGCAAACATGCAGGCGAATACCGTGACACAAGAAAAGCCGAGAAGGAGGCCGTACAAGCTAGCGGAAAAGAAGATACCCCTTTACCTGGAAAGGAGAGAGTACGTAGAAAGAAATCCAGAAAGTGTGGTTGCCAATGCTTTGTATATGCTGCAGTTGACCGACATGGAAGACTTGCTGTTCGATCGCGAGAAGCAGAACACAATCACACTATTGAAGAGGATCGAAAAGCATATGCCATGCATCGTAAATTGACCCCTGAAGCATTGTCCCTTGTTAATAAACACCTCGAGAATAATGACAACGCTCCGACAATCTTCAGAATCCTCCAAGAAAATGGCTTTACAAATATTATTCTCAGAGATATTGAAAACATCAAACAAAACTTTGCAAAGAAAGATACGATCAAGGAGCTCTCTACATTGATCTCAGCACTACACAATCTCGATTTCTTTGTCAGACTTACTGTCCCTGAAATTGAAACTGATACTGATACTAATATTGGCATTGGTACAAGTGCAAATGCAAATGCAAGTACTGGAAAATGGAGGGCTAGTCCCCACACTGTTTTCTTGATCCACAAGAATGACATTGAGGAGTATGACAAACATCTTTTGAAGGCCAAGATATTCACTCTCATTGATAATGTTCATCAACCCAAGACAGAGGGAGATATTTACGAGCAGATCATGGCCTACAACGTATTTATTCAAAACTATTGTGAAAGCAAAGGCATCATAGCCAAACCATTCGCGGAAGAGTATATATCATTTCAATATCATTTTTTTTATATTGCAAAGTGGGATATATGTTTACCATCCTTACATTGTTGCACTTTCTACCACTAGGGGGCGTGTAGATAAGAAGAATTGGTTGAGCCTGTATTCTTACAAGTTTCCTTACATTGTAAGCGATACTTACAACAGATATGAGAGTATTCACACTTCCTTGCAAGTCGACAAGACTTTTAATAATCCGGTGCGTTTAATTAAGAATATACATATACATATACATATATATGTATATCTATATATAAGTAGAAAGAAATAGGGTGTGTTAACATGAAGGAAAAAAGAATAGTAAATTAGTATGTGTCAAATTATTTATATCAGCTTGACTGTATTAAATTTACTTATTGCTGTTATTTTTCTTAAATACATATATATATCAACAACCCACGCTGATATATAGGATGATAATAATAATGATGATGCGAGCGATATTATAGTTGAATATGATAACGAAGGTAATATTTACTTGGGCTTACTATATGTATCACAATGGATTGGAGATTGCAAATTACTATTTTGTAAATATTTTCTAAAAAAAAACTTGCGCACAGACCATTCCGATGTCATCACGGCTCAGGAACCCGAAAGTACCAGAAGTTTTTCGGAGTCGGCTTGTATTATTGTCCGTAAACTCACCAAGTTATTTGAACTCTACGTAACCGATACAACACAACAAGAACAAGATAACATCCAACAAAGCATTGACAACCTCATCCAAGCAATTGAAACGTCCAAGCACAATAAATCCAGCTCATCAACAAACAACCTTTCCAAAAGACATAATCGAAGCCCCAAACGAAAACTTAGTGAGGTTGAAAACCGACTTGATGAAATATTGAAAGCTCCAAAGCTTCCAAAAAATACAAACAATACAAAAACTGGGCGAAAGAAAGCAAAGTAAGAATTTACCCATCAAACGACTTGCTCGTGATAACAATGCTTTTATCATTATTATTTGGCTCATCTCTTTTGACATTCTCTCAGTATCGAGCAAGATATCGTGGGTAAAAATGAAACACCATTTAAAAATAACAGACTTCTCGAATCTCCAACTCTAGCCGAGGCTCCAATTTTAGTCGAGGCTCCAACTCTAGTCAAATCTCCTACGCCTCTTACAATACTAGCCAAACTCGACAGACTTGGTATAAAATCGGGTCAGGTTAACCAAGTATTTTCCCCGCAAACCGATGGAAACTGTGGCTACCGGGCAATTGCCATGTCGGTTTATGAAGATGAAACACGGTGGCCTGATGTAAAAGCCAGAATGCTGTCGACCTTTTTGAACCACAAAGACACATTTTACAAAGGGAGAATCGAACGCGGTGATGAATCAGCATTTGAGAATCCAATGGTTCAATGCTTAAAAGATACCAGCTCCCCACTGGATTCCAAACACTGGTTTGGCATAACTGACCACCCTCAGATTGCCGCCGATGCTTTCAATCGATCCATCGCCGTGTATTGGGATACAAAGACATCATATGGAAATTCGCTATTTGTTCCTTTTCAGAAATCTCCTGACAAAATCGAACCCATCATCATCTTTCTCGATAATGACCATTTTTTCCTAATTCAACGCAAACGAAGAAACAGCTTCAAGTGGCCACAAATCAACGTGTATCATAAGGCAATAGTTCAGAGTTTCAATATTGATGATTATTCTCTTATGTACTGAAAGGTAGTCTTTTGTTTGTTTGTCTGTTTATCTATCTGCTTTTATTTTTTGTGATACCGTATGCAATGTCAGAAATTATTTATTCATATATACTCGTCTTGAATTTCCTTTGGCTTAATCCTATTACTAATATTATTATTCTATCTTGACTTACTTTTACAATTTAGGATTTTGCAAATAACTTGAAACAGAATACCCAAGACTGTCCATAACCGACTATCTATTTTTCTATACAAAAAAAGAATAATCGAGTAACAACAACAAGAGAGAAATATATGATTTATAAACGTAATATAAAGAACCCCTTTAATGACAATAGATGTCACCATTTTTCACATACCTGACTATCTAAGTAATAATAATAATAATAATACATCAAAATGAAAGATTATCCATAAAGGTTAAGCTTGCTTGGAGTGGGATTTAATGAAATTGAGTGGAGTTTAAGATTGGTTTTGTTTGGTGGTTTAAATAAGAAGAAGAAATATCTGTTCAAGTAATGTAATACTTCCTAAAGAGGAGAGATGGTATTCCTGGGGAAGATTTATTTTCTTACTAACTATACGCACAATTAATGAGGGATAACAGTAAAAAGAACAAGTGCATTAAGAAGCTATATAGAAATACTAAAATATCGGAAAGTAAAAAGGAAGATTGCAAAGAGTTGGTTACTGCATTAAAAGTATAAAATACCAGGGCAGAAAGGGAAACTTTTTCTAATGTCGTTTTCTAACAATTCTTCTAAATTTCAGTGATGCCTTTTATAGGTAAAATTTAGAACAATTAAGGAATTGAGGGATAAATCGTAAAACATAAAACAAGGCGTATTTTATGGTTCAAATCTTCTTTATATAATAACAATATTTTATTTATGCCAAAAGGCTATCAAGATAATTAAAGTATCTATGTATCTATATTGTTCCTTACATAGCAAAATGTCTAAGCAAGAGCCTACAGAAACACACCTATTAAAGAAAGGGGGTACTATTAAAAAAAATTGGCAATTGGCCTATCCCTTCGTGAATACCTGAGGAATACATAATGCCTATTAAATGCTTTCAGAGACAGACTTGTTTTGTTTGAGCTGTTTATAGCTCTGATTATCCCAAGTCTTGTAAGCACAGCACTAATATGTATATATCTGACTGTAAATCAACATTATAGAATGGTACAGCTTAAAGTAATTTCGAGGTTGTTAAAATAAAACATATAAAATAAAATAGCTGTTACAACATCCAATGTATATGATTATTATTCTCTTTATAGATACAGCTAAGCTTACAAGCATCTTGATCTGACAACTCTTTCTGAGGTAGCTATTTTATTAATCCCAGCAATTCATTTGCAAAATTAAAATCGTTTTACAGATGGACCTTTGTCAGATATATAAATTAGAATAAATGTATATGTGTCTGTATGAGGCTTCTATTCTATTATGACCATCAAATGATAAGAATTATATAAAAATATGTGTGCGGTATGAATTGGGATTTGCATTTGTACTATATTATTAAACGTATACTTGGTTCTATTTTACTATGTAAATGGTAGTTGTATAATGAATAAGGGATAATATGGACTGGCCTTATAAACCAATGCTCGACTATGCTACTAGGGAGAAAATGGACGTGAGCTTGGTACTTGCAAAGACCATATACAAATAATCCAAGCAATTTCCCTTAAAATGGGTTTTCTTATTATATTATTTATTATTGACGATTAAAAGTGTTACATTTTGTAGATAAGCTTAAGTAAAGTAGATTGTAAGAAGAAGAAAATGATTTATCCTATTCATCAGAACAGATTACTACACCAGAGTCATTGTTCTTGCATTGGGGTCATTTTGGTCGAAAGTACCATAAATTACTGTGAATAATATAGCACCAATAGCTCTGAGAATTTTCTAGCTCAAAAGAAGAAGAAATGAAAGCTTGAGATATTCTCAAGATGTAAAGAGTATGATTCAGTTTTTAAAGATCTTAAGACCGTTTTAGGTACAAAAGTGCATTTTCTTTCTTTCTTTCTTTAAAGAGCCTTTAATATAAGGCTAAATTTAGATATAAAGATTATTTATTTATTTATTTATTTTGAAAAGAAAATGTCGCAATTGGTCCCAAATGTTCTAGAATGTACACCTTTTCCGGAAATTATTGGTGCAAAAATGGAATGCACCAAATGCACCAAAAAAGATGAATTAAGCAGAGAAATGGTAAAAAATTGCACCAAATTTATTTTTATTTTTGCACCAATAATTTCCGGAAAGAGTGTATTTCCCCATAATAAGGTTGTATGATAAGTCTTAAACTAATTAGTCAGTGCTGACAGTTGGTACGCTATCTTATGTTCTTCATTTGCATTTTACAGATACATTCCAAAAAAGGAAAGAAACGTAATACTTTTTTTTTTAAAAAAAAAGAAAAAGGCTTTAAGGTATGTGTGGAGATATCTAAAATTCTATATAAGAAAAGCAAAAATAAGTAATAAAATATAAGTAAAGTTTGGCTTGATTCCTGTCTTCTATCTATCAAAACGCTTATATTTCAATAATATTGACACCAACGTAACTAATTGACATACCTTCAAGGCCTGTGGATAAAAAAATATCTTTATCTAAAGTCAATTTAAATAAACTGATGTCCACATTTGGAATACCTCTGCTCAGCCTAGCAAGTGACAATTCCCGGTGATAATTATTCCGTGTCCGTTTTCATTATCAGATATTAGTTATATATATATATACATATACATATTGTTATTACTATTATTCCTTGCACGGATTATATAAAAGGCTTTTTTCTCCTATCAAGCTCTCTTCGCTATCATCATCATTATTTTACAGAAAATCAATCAAACAGCCAAACAGCCAAAGAATACTCTTATAAGCCCAAAATCAATCATATAATAGAATAGAATAGAATGACAAACTTGAATATTGTAATTGTTGGAGGTGGTTTTGCTGGTGTCAGAATGGCCACTGCCTTGGAATCAACCATAGAAAAAACCAAAGAGAAATACACGATTATTTTGGTAGAAAAGGTAATAAAATAAACTGAAGCTATTATCCTTTTGACTTACTATATATTATACACAATAAAACATAATACTTATATCTTATCTTTACAAAGAAATCTCACTTTTACCATTCAATTGCCGGACCTCGCTCAACTGTCGATGAAATCGAAGAAAGACTCTTGGTTCCTTACACCAATCTATTCAAAAACAAGCGTAACCAAGTAATACAAGCCTCTGCCATTCGTTTTGAAGAACATAAGCTTTATTTGGATAAAGATGTCAAAAACTACGGAACTTCTATTGACTTTGCTTATTTGGTAAATACAACAACATTAAATAAGAATTACTATCATTATCGTTATTATTATCTTTAAAAAAGTCTAATTGATCAATACTCTTTTCTTTTAAAAAAAAAACAAAGATTATCGCAAGTGGTACAGACTATGCTGCTCCTTCCAAAATGCCAGTTGTCAACTATGAAGATTGTTTGTCTTATATTAGAACTGCTCGTAAGCAAATCACGAATGCAGAATCTATCCTAATTATCGGAGGTGGACCTGTTGGTGTTGAATTGGTGGGCGAAATCCGTGACAAGTTCAGTCCCAAACAAAAGAAGATTACATTGGTACATAGCGGAGGATCCGTGGGAGGCCATATTATGCCTCAAAAATCGAAAAACAAGGTGCTCAGCCTTTTCAAAGAATCTCAAGTTAACCTTATCCTCAACGACCGCGTAATACTACCCGAGTCTGCTCCCTTGTCTACGGCCTTTATCCCTGATGAGCCAATCAAGACCGAAAAGGGAGAGACTATCAATGCTGATTTGGTACTGATCGCATATGGAAGCAAACCCCAATCAGGCTGGGTAAAATCTAGTTTCCCTGATACTGTTTCTAAAGAAGGATACATCGATGTAAAGCCTACCCTACAGATAAATAAGGCTGGGCTGGAACACGTCCTGGTTTTGGGTGATGTTGCGGATCTCAAAGAGACCAAGATGGCTTACCGTACTGAACCGCACGTTGCTGTTGCTATTCAAACCATTAAGAGCTTGTTCGAAGGCAAGAAACCTACCAAGGAGTACAAATCTGGACCCAATATGATGGTTGTCACATATGGAAAGGTAAATGGGAAGAAAGTAGAAAAAAGAATCTGTGTGTGTTTTTTTCTCACATTCAATTCTTGCTTTATATATATATTACTGCTGGTCTTGGCTTCAGTATCATGGAACTGGTATGCTTCCTATATTTAACATTACTGTCGGTGACCGTGTCACTAGTCTGGTAAAAGGAAAAACTCTATTCATTGATAAATCCTGGGCTTCCCTGAACTTAACTCCTCCTTCAAGGTAAGCAATCATATATATATATTTTCTTTTAAAAAAAAACTTTTTTAATTATATTGTCTCTTGATTTGATTTCAACAGTTGAATCTAATCCTATACCTGTTGTACGTCTTTTCTCTCTCTCTCTCTATCTGAAAATCCCTCGACCGGAACAATTTTCTTTTTAGCTCATCTAATTCCTCTTCTTCTCTCCCTTTTAATCGCCTGGTAACGATTTCGGCTTCTTTACTAATTTTGGCCGCATCTATCTATTATTACAAACCGCTCGTTTTGTCTTAACAATACATGTGTATTTTTCACCCTTTTTTATATTTTTCTATCCTTTTGAAAAAAATATTAAGAATAATAAATGTGTATATCTATCTAACTATCTATTATACATATATAATAGTAATTCATTAATTAATATATTGAATAATGTTCCATCTAGAATCAATACACTAATTGATACTAATAGGGTTACATATATGTAGTTCTACTTAAATAGTAGTAGTAGTAAGCGCAATAGTGACCAAAAATCAACTCATTTTGAATTATACTATACAGCCCACGTACTTCCATTGACCGGTAATAACTATTCTGTATGAAAACAAAATGATAATCGCAACCTGTCCTATTGAATATACACACACATATATATAAAAGAAAGGACATAGTCAATTTCGTACTACATTTTGGTGTACTAAATTGGGGGTAAGTAAATGATGTATTAAAAAATAATTGTTAGTTGTGGAAACAGATAAGGTTGATCTCCACTACAAATAATAGCAACAGTAATGATGGTAAAGATGAAGATGAAGATGAATTTTATTAGCGTCATGTATTACAGGATTTCAGTTAACTGGTACAGTTGAATTTTTTTTTTGGGACAAATGAAATAAACTTTTAGGGCAAAATGTTTTTATTTTCTATCTTGAACGAACTACACAAAGTAACAATGGCATGCAAGAGTAACATTTACTTCAATTCTAACTCTTTATCATTACACATATTCCAAGACGTCTCAGCATTCTCAACCCAACCTTCAAAACTCTGGACAGTCACTGATTGACAATGTAAAGAAGGCAAGATGTCAGAGTATCTTGCTTTATCAAGTGGGCTCCTCTTGATATTAGTATTTATTTATTTTTTTACCAGCAATCTTCAATAGGATTAAAAAAAAAAGAAGAGTAAGGGGATGGACAAAGGTTTGGTCTTTTTTATTGATATCATCAACAACAAATATAGAGTAGTGAATTATTCAATTATTCATTACGGTAAAGAAACATTTTTTGGGACTTTCGCTTTTCTTTCCTTTTCTTAGTGGCAAGGTTTGAGTACTCTTGCTCTAGATTTTGTGTGTCCGCTTTTGTAAAAGGATCAAATTTGAGAAATTGACCGCTCCAAAATATGCTATGCATCCAACAATACTGATATTAACACCTCTTTGTTTGTGAACGGTGACATTTAGTAGCTCTTCTACTTAATACCAAGATCGACCTCTTATTATGTGCGTATTAAAGCCAGCTTCATCTACAAATACACAATTCTTTTGAAAATCAACGCCTATTTTGCTTCATTTACTTACTATCTCATGAAGAAGAAAAAGTGTCCTCTCGGTATCTCTTTTCAAAGAAAATGCATGCTCGGCTGTTACATGTCTCCACAGAGAAGGAATAGAAATATCATCCAGGTCTGGAAATTCTTTGATAGGCGCTTTTTTAGTTAATCCAAGTGTTGAAGATTTGTTGTTATAAAGGCATTGGATGAAAAAAAAAAAGGTATGCTGAGGACAAGGCTTCTTTTTTGTCCCTCTGTTTGTCGCTTTCGGAGAAAATCCAAGTAATACATTATCGTTGCTAGCGTTAAACTCCTTGAATATTGTGTAAGTGTTTTTTTTTGGAACATTGCAACATACTGCCGCTTTAGGTACAGTAGTTCTTTAGTCTTGTATTATCTGTATAGAATGACGGACTTTCTCGGGGTGTACTTCTTGTACTTTCTCTTACCGTCATCAATTGATAAAGCTTTCAATATTTTTTTGTTGGTAATTGAGTCGATCTCCGTACCTGTGTTCACTTTAGTGGTTTCATTAACTGAAAAGTCAATTATCTTTTTTGATGTTACCGCATTGATAAGCTACATTTTCTATTTGTTCTTCGGGCTCATCATCAATAATGTAGTAGTTGCCTAGAGATATATAACTAATCTAATCCATGTTAATTTCTAAAAGATTTAGTGCCAAAAAAATGTAAATCATCTAAGAACTTATGTCATTTAATCCCAAAAATAATATAAAGTGGCTCAAATTTGTTTACAAGTCGTACCAAAAAAAAACATGCCAATTAATACTAAAATCATGTCTTATTATTATTTTTATCAAGGACTTTGAATGGGTAATTGAATCATGATGAGAATAAAATAAAGGTTATATTTTTTGGGGGTTTGTCTTGTATGGCAAATTCATTAACCAAAGCAAACGAAGAAGGAATATATAAATATAAATATAAAATTCCTTCCTTCCTCTTTAATGGAATGTGAATGAGTTTTTTACTGATTGGGTTTCTGTGAGAATTAAATGGAACAACGTTGTTATGGGTAATTAATTGTTTATTATTTTTCTTTTTATATACCGGAACCTGGTTACCTAGCTGTCTGACTGTCTGAATGTCTAGATAACCAGTAGTCTGGCTGGATGGTTATCTGTAGTTATCTGGCTGTCTGGCTGTCTTGTCTAGATTTGCAATAATTCTGTATTATTACCGAGCTCGTTGCACAAGAGAGATTTTGTTTGACATGATCCGCAATTACAGCAAACTAAAAATTCAATTGAATCAAATTGAATTGAATTGAGTGGTTAAGGTTCTTTGGACATATCTTCCAAATGTCTTTTTTTTTTGTTCTATTATTTTGGTTCTGGGCATCATCAATGTGTATGTACTACATTAGACTCGGCGTTGGTTGGGGGTTTCTTTATTTATGGTTTGTTCTCAACACAATGGTCAAGTATGAAAATAATGCTTTGCATACACACACACACATGCATGCATTTATATATGTGTTTGTGTGTATATAGAATACTTTCTATTGTCTTTTATTTTCTACTTTGTAATATACATTTGCTTTGATAAAAGAAAAAGAATAATTCTTTTAAAAAAAAAAGGCTACTATCATATTAACCATGAGGAAGAGGAGGGAAATAAAATACCCATCACAAAAAAGTAAAAAAAAAAAAAAAAAGAGAAAGAGAAAGAGAAAGAGCAAATTGTTCCTTTTTATTTTTGTGAAACCCAACTCAATATAAAATACAAAAACTAATATTCATATATAAAAAAAGCGTGTATATTCAATGCTATCGATTCCGTCTATCGATTTGAATATATATATATATATTGCATAGGATAATACTAATACCAATAAAAGGAGTATTTTTTTGAGCAAGGAAATTAAAGCCAAAATAAAATAAAATAAAATAAAATGAAGCGGGGAGATATAGAACTCTATTCCTTTCTATTTTGTATTTTATTTTATTTTAATCAATTATAGCATAAACATATAAAAATATAAAATATACAGTTTCCGCGAGCTGAATGACACCTTTGGCTCTGACCAATCAGCGTAAAGAAACCCATTTAACGGCGGTAAATAAACAAATAGGTACGTAAAAAAAGTAACAGAAGCGGAATTAATAAATATTAGAATTGCGGTATCTGAGTTTTATAATATAAGCCCGCCTGAGTATCAAAGATATACAAAAAATGCGCAATTTTTCTTATTCTACTTCTTTAATTGTATACAACATCATCTTCATAAAAGGCAGGTTAAAAGGGGGTTTCATTTACTTCTTTTTTTTTTTAAAAAAAAAAAAAACACAAATAATAATATCAAAATTGATATTTATTCAGCTTATTATTCTAAACAAAATAAAAACTTCGGCACTATCCGAAACCAAAAACTGCACTTTATTTTAAATTTCTTGCTTGAGGTGCCAATATGCTATGTCAATTAGAATTGAAAGTCCAAAGTGTTTGATTAAACTAACCAATGGAGTTCTCATTGTCCAACAAGAGATACCACATAGTTAGTCAATCAAGTTTGAAGATTAGAGTGAGACTTATTTGTATGTATGTTTTTTCGCTTATATATAGAGAAAGAAATTATTATTATTATTAAAGATTACTCTGGCGCCAAGTAATTTATAGGACACTTTTCCCTGCTTTTGTGTGTGTGACTAGATTGGTTGACCATAGATAAAGAAGTATAATTGAGATGATAATAGTAAGTAATCTAAAATAAAATAAAAAATCGCGCATTTTTGTTTTGTATATATATTTTTAATACCCAGATATTGTTTTTTTTTTTTTTTTGCAAAGCTAAATATTCAAAAATCACTATACTCAATAGCCAATACGCAATGCTTTATTTCCCGCCATTTGTTGTTTTGTTTATCTTTGACGCGTTTTTATTGGCTACAATTAAAAGACGCCTTTGATGCGCGGGCACTATGCGTATGTATGAATGTGTGTGATATTTATGTATATGTATATCTATATTTATAATAATAAGTTTGGGGGACAAAGAAAGAAGAAAATGAGTGCACCCTGTCTGTGCTCCCTCGGCAGGAACTCCTTTTGTTACAGTTGTTCCCGATACCAAGATACTAAAATGATATATAAAAATAATTAATGTCTGTTTCTCGAAAAACTTTCTTTCGTGGCGATCAGCGCTTGAATTATATATAGTATAGTATATAGTATTAATTTATTTTTTTTTGGTTGTTGTTGTACTTTGTAATCCAATTCTGCCTTGAAAAGGTAATCAGGCACACTTATAATTTCCAAGCCAAATAATAAAACAGTCTGTGCACACATGTGTAGGACTGACTATTTGGTGTTCTCCGTCGGATACATAGTAGATATGTAGTGTAAATAGATGTTACTCTTGAGGATGAGATTATACATATACCAGCAAGTAAAGTAAATACTTTTTTTTTTACACACAATTATATATTTTTACATAAATGTGTGTATATGCGCTAGAATTATAGGTATATTTATTTACGATGATTTTTTCTTTTTAACAATAATGATAATTCTTATATACATCTTTTACACATACAGAAAAGTAAGATCCACCTGGATAACACTAATAATGATTTATTTTATTTTATTTAATAATAAAAAAAAGGACAATTACATGAATAAATGAATTAAAACAATAAATAAATATTATTTCGTGTGCTCTTAATTTATTTTACATTAAATGAACTTGATCATTGTCACATATAACAAGAAGTGTCTAGACATAAAACGAAAAGTCAAACAGTACTACGTTTGTTCATCCTTTCACCACTGTAACCCTTTGTGATCCCTACCCCTTTTATACATATATATCTTTTTGTGTGTATTTTGGGTTTAATCATAGAGTATCAAGGAATATCCTCAACAGGCAATTGGTCTTCTAGGGTGTTTTAAAACAAGAAATAAAGAAACAAATAATAATTTAGAATTATCTAGCCCTTTTTCTTATCGTCATCTTACCCACATTTCTTCTATTCTTAGCCATTGTACAATGAGCCATGTGGTTGAAAGTAAGAAATAAAAGCTTATAATTTTGTACTTGGGGGAACAAAAATTATGTTGTAAATTTATTTTTTTTAAACTTCTTTATAATTATTATTTTAACCTCTTGTGTTGTGCTTGGCATAAATATATTCCCGGATTAGCGGACCACTAAAGATAATATATAGAAATCAAGTATGTTTCTTGAAGGGCCGGGTGTTATGTCCCCTGTCCAAAAGACAAGATATACAAATCAAGAAAACAAAAACGCCAAAAATAATAATAATTTTTTCTTTTTTTAAAAAAAAGGAATAATTTATACACATTTTCTTATTTCGATTATTATTAATAGTATTATTGTTATTATTACTGTTGTTATTGTCATCATTAAGTATCATTATATAAATATAAATATAAAGTTTCCTTTCTCTCTCTCTCTCTCTCTCTTTTGGGGGGGAGTGGGTAAGATGGAGGAGAGGGAAATGGAAAGGGCGGGTGGGGGAGTAAAAGTAAAGGTGTGGTTACATAAACATCAAAGAAACCGCAATAATTGTGGCACCCAGAGAGCCAATCTTCAGAGAAGAAGAAATGGAAGAAGTGGAGGCTCCAGAAGTAGTAGTAGTAGAAGTGGAAACGTAACTAGGTTGGGCAAATTGACCTCCAGTAAAAGTAACAGCCATGTTGGGTCTCTTCTCGTTTTCTTCCCACGTGCAGCTGGCAGAATCGATGTAGCTAATGGTCTCAGCCTTGGCAACGTTGCGGATCCAATTGTGCTTGTAATCAGCGGTGGGGGCAGAGGGGTTGACAGCATGGATGATGTCCTCCAAAAGAGCATCGGCCATAACAACTGGGGCCTCGAACCAATCAAACCCACCGGTCTGGGTCAGAATGCCATCTTCACGGAATACGGCCTGGTTGGTCAAGAACTTGTATTTGGAAACATCACTTTGAGGGATCTGGTAGTTCTCCAGAATGTCGGTCAGATTGGTGGCGATATAGGTCTCATCGATAATGACATCAACATTAGCAATAGCCTTTAAGAAGTCAGCAGAGTTGCTAAATGTAGTAGTCTCAGGAGCCAAAGCCTGTCCACCTATAAAAAAATAAAACATATATACATTAATATTATATTATATTATTGTTATTGTTAAATAAGATATGTCTTTCTTTTTTAGGTCTTGTATTGAACTAGGACATTAATCCACCAAATCTACTATGCCAATAATCAATTAATCTTACCAGCATCGGCAACAACGCCAATCTTGTAAGCAGGAACGTTGATAGCCCAGCTAGCAGTGTTGTTGTTGTACTGATCTGGTGCATTGTAGGTAGTCCATGCAACGACAGGCTTAGGGTTGTAGCTGGCAGCAGCTTTCTTGAGGTTTGCATAGTTTGTGTTGATGCTATTGGTAATTTCATTTGCGGTAGCCTCGGTATTGTAGAAAGCAGCATAGTAAGACAACCATGTAGAGCGCTATTTTAACCCGAAATGATAATAACAATGGATATGTAAAAAGAAATTTGTTATTGTTATTGTTATTAGTTAACTTGGTTCATTTGTGTATTCGCTTGTATGAGGATACTTTTTTTTTGTACATCCTTTTAATTATAACCATAACTCTAAAAAAAAAACACACACACAGAAAAAATTCCCACAACTTACGCCCAAAACATTATCTTCGTAGCTGGAGTCAGTAGTCACAGAGGTATTGGCAATTTCAGAGCTTGAAGGATCAGCACCAAACTGAACCTGTACAGTTTCAAGCTGTGCGGCCTGAAGAGTCATGTTTGTGACCGAAA